GGGGGGGGGGGGCATCAGCGGCCATAAATCTTGGAGAACCTTCACCGTTTTACAAGGGAGTTCGAGGGGGCTGCTCTTCTCCCTCTCGAGATCTATTTACAACGCCAAAATCTCCGTGTTAATGGACCTGGGGTAATGGTGTTTATTTTACCGCGATAAAGCGCTCAGCTTCCTGGGGAGCGGCTGTAGAATGTCCTGGAGGTGGGGGTGCAGGAGGGCGCCCTTAAAGTGGGCGCTGGAAGAACCGGGGCACCAGGTTCTCCTCCAGGCAGGGCCCCCGCCCTCCACCCCTAAGCCGGGCCGAGCGGCCCAGGCCTCGCGGGCGAGGACGGTTCCCACATAAATCACCAGCGCCAGAGCCTCGGGAAAAGGAGCATTTTTCATTGCTGGCTGCAGGGCAACTCCCGACAGCGAACGAGAAACAGAAGTTGTCTTTAGATAAACCGTTTACCGGAGCGCGCGTCCTGGCAGCGCAGCCCCCGGAGCGCAGGGCAGCGGGGTCCTGGAGCTGCGCCCCCCCGCCCCGCCTCCCCCAGCCAAGCACTCGGGAGAGGCCCCGAAGGAAAACCCAGTCGCTCCGCAGGCCTGGCCCACGTTCTCCTGCCATGGAAAGTGAGCACCGAGCGGAAAAGGAGAGCTTCAGGGTCTGGGAAGCCTGGACCCGCGGTGTCCACGAGGACTCTGGAGTCCTGAGGCCTGAGAGCCCGGCGCCAGGCTCACCAGCAGCGTGGCCTCCAGCAGGCGACTTGACCCCTCGGAGCTTCAGGAATCTTCCGTTAGAAAACGGATGTAAAAAGCACTGCCTTCCTAGTGCACGCTCAAAATTAACAAATTAAATCCAATGTGATCTGTATAACCTGCGACGCCAAAGTTATTCACCCGAGGTCTGTGCCCGGCCTAGGGGCTTTGGAGACGCCCTGGCATTGCCGACCAAGGGCTGCACGCGCCCCTGCGCGTCCTTCCAGGCGGAGGGCTCACAGCTCACACCAGTGTCCCCAGCAGCTGCTCCAACCCGGGAAAGTGGAGCCACCGCTCTCCTTCTGTCGCGGGGCTGCGCGGTTGGAGTTTTGGCTCTGACACCGGCCGTGAGACCTCGCCATGACTTAAGCCTCCTGTTTCCTCGTCTGCAAATGAGATAACAGTTCCTAGGATTGTTGTGGGGAATAAAAATGCGTAATATGGTGTCTGGCCCTGGTAGGAGCTAACTAGATGTTATTTTTACGCATCAGCCCTCGCCCTGCAGCAAAGGCGCGTGGCGAGTCCCTTCAAGCCGAAGGCCGCCAAGGCCGCAGACG